AAAACAACATGTACCAAAATTATAAAATAGAAAATAATTTAGCCAGACAAATAAAAACTATTTGTGGTTCAATTTAAGGGGAATTTAAATCTCTTTGAATACTTATACATGAAATCACATATCTAATTAGATAAACACATAAATTATTTAAATGAGTATTTAACTTAATTTTATACATATAAATCATAAAATGTCTTATATATTCTAATAAAATAAGTAAAATATTAAATAATTATTATGATTTAAATAATTTGTAAATATTTATGTATATGCATGACTATTCGAAATATAATTTGATTATGTTTGGTAATGCAACTCTAAATCCATTAACACTTTATTTTTGTTTTCACTTTTCTCTACAACAACGTATATCAAACTATATATAATTTTAAGAGGAAGAAACGAATCAAATTAAATTAAAATAATAATCTAATTTGAACCTATATATAACAAAACAAATAATGTTTTAATTTGAAAAAATTAATTGCAATCAAATATACCTACAATGAATAATTGAACCATCTTAATTAATATCTCTATAATATTATTTGAGAAGTCAGTTTCCTATGTGTCGCTCTTACATTCACTCTCACGATGGTTGATTACACTGATACCCTTAATGAATTAACATAGTTAAAAACAGTATTGTCAATTCTTTTATTTATTTTCCTTTTCAAAATTTCCAAAAATATATGTAATAAAAAGGAAATTAGTTATAAAGTCATAAAAACAAATTTAAAACGAAAAAATATATGTATATATAATATGATTTCATAAAAAAATGAAAGTTCACAAAATAGCAATAATACATTTAAAAATATTTTTTAAATAACATCAAAATACACTTTTTGAGTAATAAAAATAGTTTATAATTATTATTATTGAAATTTTTTATTTATTTTTCATATATTTAGTTGACTATAATATCTTTCAATTACAGAAAATTATCTATAAATTATGTTTCACTTACATAATATTATTTTCAAATACAATCACAAATTTGTGTAGTGCTTATTTTTAAGAGATATTAAAACCTAAAAATAAACTTAACAATAAAAATTGTTTGATCAAATAATTAACAATTGGATTAACGAGCTAGATATATGATATTTTATTATTATTAAAATTATATGCTTTCTTAATAGTAAATTTTCTTTTAAATTTCATGTTTTATGTTTGTGAAACTAAATATAACCATAATCAAAATATCAAAGCAAATATGAATTCCCAATTTTAAAATTATTTAAAATAAATTTTAGTTTACGTTCAATAAATCTAAAGCATAAAGTTATTTAGAATTTATAAATATTTTAATTATAGTAAATACCGATATGTGTTCATGATCTTCTAAAAATGTATCAACTACTTATGCATGTAACATTCTATTGATCATAGGATAACTCAAAAATATTAACAAATGAAAATGAATACTGACCAAATTTAAAATTTTAGTTCTTTTGTAAAATTTATATATATATGCATGAGACTTTAGAATATTATTGTTATATTAATTTACGTATTTTGGAATCAGACACTTTAGTTAATTTTTAATTCATTCTAATCATAATATATCTTAAGTTATAGATAATTTTCCTAAAATATATGTATATGTCTAAGACAACACCCACTAAATGCAAATAAGTGCTTAATTAAAAATTAATATATTTTAAAAAATATTACAATTGAATTCAGGCAATCCAATTTATCCAAATGATAACTAAATCAACCGTAAAAACAACAAAATCGACTAAATATAACATATATAAAATTATAGTATAATTAAAGTAATATAATATTATTAATATAAATGATGCATACAAATTATAAATTAATTTAAAATTAAAACTAAATAGTAATCAATTATTATCATATATTTATTTTTAAAATATTTATACCCGTGTATGAGCACGGGAAAATCACCTAGTACATTACATTATATGTCTAATTAAGATACTATCGTAATGTGTGTGAGAACAGAGCAAGCATCTGCAAATTACATGTATGTATATAAGTATTTTGTTATATACACGTACGTGTATCAGTGTATGGGATAATCATTTAGTTTTTTTCTTTCTAATGTTTAAAGGTAACTTTCAAATTACAACCAATGTTGAAGAGATCATTAACGTATGTCATGAGAAACGATTCGAATTTTGGAGATGAAGCTGTGACTTTTGGGGAAAAGCACGAGTTTGCGGATTTCATATGGCTACCGAGCCAAGGGAAAGTGGTGTATCGAATGGACGACCGAGTTCCTTTCAACACTTCTGGGGATGGCTTGTTCGATTTTTTCCCTTTCCGTCCGCAACTCTCCGCAGCATTAGCCATCAACAGATTAGTAGGTTGATTCTTTATTATTCAACATATCTAACATTGCTATATATCATTTCCATAGTTATAATGTTTCTTATATATATTTTGCTTTTAATGGTTTGTAGAGGAGAATGAAGAGGCATCTGCAGATGCAAACAGGAGATGTGTGAGAACAGAGCAAACATCGTCGTTCTTGTCTTCAATCTCATATGGCGTGACCAACAATGGTAATTTACTGACTTGCTTATACAAAATTGACTAAATGGACTAAATTTTAATATTCGTTCTTCTTTTGTATGACTTTGCATACAAAAATTGACTAAATTTCAATTTTTTTGGAGAAAAGACAATTAATATTTCACTTACAATTTCTACCGCAGGCTTTATATTTACAGGCTATCCGGTTATAGGAAGCCAAGACCGTATGATGTCATCCGGTGCGTGTCTAGACAGCAATCAAGATGGATTGATCACGGCTTGTCCGTGGGATCCACGCATAAACGGCGAGTTTTTTCACCAAACAACATTAAGTGTTCCTCTCACACATGTGAAAAATTTCATCGACGACATCAAAGCACTTGTGAAGATCGAACCAAGATCTCTCTGCGTCCTTGAAGGCAGCAACGGTATTCTAATGCGCTATGTCACATCCTCTCCTGCTTTTCTCGGGAAAGAGAAGAAAGCTTTAGACTTTGACCTAACTTACTACCGAAGCAAAGATGATCCCTTGACACCGCGTCTCTATGAGGATTACGTCGAAGAGATCGAGCAAATGGCTTTATTAAAATACAACGCGTTACCACACTGGGGGAAGAATAGGAATATAGCGTTTGATGGTGCCATTAGAAAATATAAGAACGCAAATGCGTTTTTGAAAGTAAAGGAGAGGTTGGATCCTTTGGGGTTGTTTTCTACGGAGTGGACCGATCAGATTCTAGGGTTAAAAGGAAGCGTAACGATTGTGAAACTAGGATGTGCTTTGGAAGGGCTGTGTATTTGTTCGGAGGATTCTCATTGTGCTCCTAACAAAGGTTATATGTGTCGGCCTGGTAAAGTCTATAGAGAAGCTAGGGTTTGTACTCGAGTAAGCACTTGAAAGGGATTATTTCCAAACCAATAAAATTTTGAATCCTACGAAATCATATAAATGATTGTTGGCTACATGAACAAGACGTCACTACGTGACTTCTCTCTGAATAAAAAGTAATGTATTAAAAACTATACGAACGAGGTTGTTAGTGTTAACAAAATAACGTATAATAGTCCAAAAATATATAATAATCTAAGAATATAGCTATGTGAATCATATAGTTTATGTAATTTTCGATACATTATTATTGTCTGAATGATTCATGTGTTGGTGTATGTGGTTCATGTACTTTATAATTCTATGTACTTTATAATTCTATTCATGTATGGTGTGAAACTCAAAGGAATTGAGGGGAGCCGCACAAGTGGTGGAGCAAAAGGAATGACGGGACCTTGCACATGCGGTGGAGTATCACCGCATGTGGTTTAATTTGATGCAAAGCCAAGAATATTATTAGGGCTTGACATGCCGGGAGATCTTCAAAATAATTCCCCCAAGAGATCTGGACCCCATTTTTTTTGTCCTTGCCTCAAATTTTCACACCTCAGATATACTGGCACGGTCCATGCGGGTCGATAGTACGTTTTGAAAAGTTGAGTTGTTGTTTATTGATTGTATATGCCTACCAGATAGCAACAATATATTAATAAGATAGAAAATATGGGATGGTTTCGAAAAAACCATAAACTTAAGCAATCTCCAATGTATTCCCCTATTTTTCTTCTAAAATAGAAAAAAAACTTTATAATAGAGATGGATTTGTCTCCAATGTATTTCTCTATTTTTTAAAATAAAATATCCTTGATATATCTTTTTCAATTTTACGAATAATTATTTTGAAAGTTGAAAACCATCCCAATTATTTTAATCTTTCATAAAATTATGATATTGTTTACACTAACTATTTCTTTAAAAACTACATTATGTAAATAAAAAATATGCTTATATTTATATAAACAATACATTTCACTAAAAATATTTATTTATAATTTTTAAAGTGAAAAACTAAAATATCATTTTGTGACTAAAAATATATATATTTATTATAGAGAAATGCTATTTATTATTCTAAATATAGAGTTAAAAATAGCAATCTCTATTTTTAAAAGAAGAAATAGAGTAAGGTTATAATAATTTTGTCTCTAAATACTATTATAAAAACAAACAAGAGTTTGACCTATTTTTTTCATATCAGTATTATATATCCTATATGTATCATTATATAATTAATAATATTTTATACGTACCATCATATAAATTATTGTTGAATTTGCGGGTCGACTCGCTCTATTGCGGAATGAATCATTTTTTGATTCAAAAATTTGACCCGCAAGTGAGAAAAATGATATATATGGGTCAATGATCTTTTTTTGTTTTAACTATCTCATGAGTGTCTAAGAGAAATTTGGAAAACTTTGATTCCCAGCCATGGTGCGAATAAACTATACAAATTATACCAGACCCATACATAAATGATAACACAACATACATAAAGATCTTTTTTTATAAATTAAAGAGTGATCGACCCAAATAATAGACCGGACCGTACACGTAGGATGTAGCCTTACAAAGGAAACCAAGAACATAATGCCACACACTAAAGACTACTCTGATTGACAAACATAGAATTCATGTACTCCTTGATTTTTCCTTCGGGAAAAGTGAATCCTTCATATCCATTGTAAAAGACGCTGATTGATTGTGCAAGACCCATTATTGTCTTGAGAACCAAACATGACACACCAGTTGTCGTCAAGAGCTCCTAATTTATTATGTTATCAGTATCTGCAACCATTTGATGAAGCTCTCTTAAAGCATCTTGTTTGGTAACTCTATATTGCTTCATATAACAGTTTACCGCATTTGTGATCTATCCTCTACTCATGTCATCTTAATTAAAGTTTTGGAAATATTGTAAGATAGAACAATGCATGACGAGAAAATTTATCCATTTTCTTACCTTTAGACCGGTTATATCATTCATAAGACGGCCTCTAACACATACAGATTTGACCAGTCTTGGTCTCGATTTAAGCCACTTGTAAGCTTCCTTGGTAGCCATCTTTCCTAGACACATAAAACAACCAGCCAAAACTACATACGGTGTGATCTCCACCTCAGCAACCTCCATGTACTCCTCAAAGCTAGGCAGGTGAGCGGCTTGTGCCCATTTTTCATGTTCAAAGTTGGGTTTCACAAATGCCTTGACCTAAAAGCTCGAAAGTATAATAAAACCGTTACAGCTACTAAATCCCATTACTTTTTTTTTTTGAATATCAATCCACTTAATAAAATTTCTACAGCTAGGAAACAATATATATATTATCCTTGATTGATTGGTTACCTCTTCTGTGTTGGCTTCCACACTGTAAAGTTTTCCTTCCGACCTAAGTTCTTTTTCAAACTATTCAAAAATATCCAAGATAAAGTTTAGGACGTCTTTCAAATATTTAGGTTGTTTATCTATGGCATGATTGGGAGACCACTTGTACATCATCATCACCACCACCATCATAATCAGGGGCGATCCTCGCCACAACCATGGTCAGTTTCTATGAATGAATAAGTTTGACACGAAATCACCGTTTGTTTCTAAAGGGCTTCACATCGTTTATAAAAGCCAAATTTCTTGAGATAGACATTTTTTGTGAAATATGGATGAATGGTAGATAATTCCTAGAGTCCGTATATATAGATTGGTGAAATCTAGTTTAAGAGGATTTATGGTGTATCAATATTTTAGAGTCGGATATCCTTGCTTTAAATTTTGAAACCAAATCATATCTTCTGTAAATAGATGTGAATCGATTTTAAATATTGTTATAATTGTTTGCACTGATTATCGTAACCGATTAGGTATGATGTAGACGATTTTCAAGGAATTTGGTAAGTAAGATATCAAATTGGAAGATATATTTTTTGAAGGAATGCAGTTCCGTAGATTGCAAGCAAGATATACAGTTAACAAACTTTGTATATGGATAGGTATGACTCATTGTTCCATTCTTCAAATAATCAATCTTTACACCGGATATCTTGGTTTAAGATAGGCAAAAAAAAATTTGTAATTAATTTGGATCCGGGTTAAATGCATATGATTTCGAGAGCAATATCATCCTTGTTTTCAAACAGATTATTTTTAAAAATAGCTATCCAAGTTTCCAAACACTCTTGATTTGTACTTCAGTTTTAATAATATAGATATAGAAATGAATTGGAGATGCTCTTAGTAATGATATATAATGTCACCAGGAACAAGATACCCCGCAAAAAAAAAAAGAAAAAGAAGATTACATGCAAATCAAAAGCATATTAATCCGTGAGACATAAGTCGTTAATGAAATAAATATTTGATTATGTATTCAGCTGCTTTTTACTTTCTGTCAGAGAATGTTTATGTTCACACGTCAGTATAACATTTGATGATGTACAACGTAGATTGGGACTTACTTCCCATTGCGAACTAGGAGCAAGGGGGCGGCCACATGCAGCAGCAACATTGACAAGCTTCTGCGTACCAATTGTGGCTTTGATTCCCTTATTGATTTCACAGACGTAATTCACCCCAATGATTTGGACAACAGTGTAACACTCTTGGGATGGTTTTGGAGGAGTTGGCAGCTCCTTGTCAATATAATCTCCACAAGCCCAGAGCTTTGATGCCTGAATTTTACATCTCTCCCAATGAATTTGAGATGTTGACAACAACAACGTCAATACGAATAGAAACCGACAAAAGATTTTGTTCTTTCATCATTAAATAACAATTTGCTTATTTTGGCAATAGAGCAATATAAATAGATATAGGGAAGTTTATTCGCTACCAAGCTGCTCCTTGTACCCGTCTCAGGAATTCAAAGGAAGATTGAAAGAGATTAGCATGTCACATGACTGCTCCCCGTACATGTAACGACGGCGGAAGAAGGATGAGGGTAGGAGGATTTTGAGGTGGCGTCGGAGAGTAAACGGACGAGGAGGCGGTCGTTACGACGTCATTCTTTTTGATCAGAGGGGATATCAGACTTAGGGTTGGAGGTGACGGTGAGCCGATTCCTTTTGTACGACATAGGCGACGACGAACACCGAACAAAATCCTCTCGAGGAAGAAGGGGATTTGTTTTGGGAAATAATTTAATTTTCCTTATTAATAAATTTCAATAGCGGGTAAAAAAAAATTATTCAATAGCAGTTTTGTTAATAGTCAAGGAGTTTTTGATATTTTCGTTTGGATTAAAATTTATTTTAGTAAATACAAAAGTTTATCAGTTATTCTAGTCATGATTTGAGTCATTCTAACTAATTTCTCATAGATATAATTATACAAAAGTGTTTCTTTCCTTTTAAAGACATCCACGTCAGATTCTACGTCAGAAAATTGGATGTTAGGAATCGACACATGTCACACCCATAAACCTTTGTGTTTCATTCAATCAGCAATCAGAGTTTTTTATCTGTCTGAGGCCCATTAGCAAGAACCCTAACCCCCCCCCTAACCACGTCGGATCGAGTTTTGGACTTTTTAGATTGCGTCAGTTCTAATTCTTCCATTTACGGATCATTAAACCTTTTCTTAACTCCATCCTCTTTCCTCTTCTAAAAACCCGTCTTCCGTTGAATCCAAACGTTTTTAACACCATTCTTAACAATATCTATCCACTCTCCTCACGATCTCTCAATCAATTTTTTTCTAGAATTTGATTCAGAAGATAGGAAATCACCATGGATGAGTCTCAGAATAGTAGGTTTACTTTACTGTGTTAAAGTTTGTTTTGTGAATAAATACAGATGTGGCGGTACACTACAACCGCTCACTTCTCTTTCTTCTCTCCTCCTCATATCTTTTTATTATTCCCTCTTCTCTCCCTTTCAGAAACTAATGAGAGAAAATTAATTTAAAATATTATCTGACAAGGGTTTGGTGAAGAGTACCGGCGGGTTCCGACAGAGAGATTGTAAAGAATGAAATTTTCGATCGGACCCGGCGGTAATTGCATAAGCAAAGGAGCTTAAGCGTGAGATGAAGAAACTGCTTCGGACCAGTTGATCAGTTACAGGAGGCTCTGTCTTGTCCGGATGAGTTACATTGTCCTCTGTCTAACGAGCTCATGCGTGATAGGTCAGTGACGTTACATTCATGAAATCTAAAGTCTTTTGATTAAAGAATGAACCAAAAAATAATTGATCTGTGAAGATTATTCTGCATTTTTATTTATTAATTATAAAATTTACATTTTTTGTGTTTTCCTCAAATTGGGTTTAATTTTATATGATATCCCTAGAAATTGGATTATAAATAAAAATTGAGTAGGTTTTTCAGACATATGACAAGTTATTCATACAGAAGTGGTTGAGTTCTGGAAACATAACTTGTCCCAAGACACAGCAAGTTCTGTCTCACACATGTTTAACTCCAAATCTATTAATCAATGATATAATCTCAAATGGTGCAAGACGGTTGGGGTAAAGAATTTTGAAAAAATGTGAGCCCAACCTTGCAGTTGTACTTCTAAATTGACACTGTTATTTACAACTGAAAAAATCAAACGCTAGACTGATCAAAAGGCCAGCCTCGCAGCTGGTGAATCTGAGTTAGAAGACGAACATGAATCTGACTCTTGACTCTGATGAGGTGGATAGTAACTACATTTAAGTAGTGCCACATTTGTTTTTTTAATGAGTTTTGAGTACTCAATTTATTTGTTGAGAGCTCTGCTCTTTATACTGATTTAGGAAATGTGAGGAATGTTCTCTTTATTTGGTTTTAGATGGGCTCAAATGATGATAAGGAGGACTCAGAACAAGAGGAGGAAACAACATGAAGGTATTTTCTTAAAGAATTGGCCCTTTGCACTAAAAGCTACATATGTACATTTTTCCTAAGTATATTTTTACATATATTTAAACATATGTATAGTAATCTTAACCGGAAATTTCTTCTTCAATAAGCTAAATGTGATGCAAGGGAATCTATATTATACTGGGATCCACAAATATGCTGACGTGGCGTGCTGGGAATAAAAAAAGTGTCTCATTATAATATAGATTTGTGGATCCCACTACAAGAAAAATAAAAAGGATTGATCAGGAATCGAACCCATATTGTTTATTTTTCAAACAAAATCTTTACCACGAGACTACTATGAATACTTGACATATTTTAGGAATAGTTGACTATATTACATAAGTTATTTTATAATAAAATTAAGTTTTTTAATTCCTAGGTATCCTCGATTAATCATTAATTTGCTAAATTTTCATATTCATAGAGTATTTCTATTTTTATGAATCAGTTTTTTTTACTCTACCTTTACATCTCCTATTTTTATTCTGTTGATTAACAATAGAACACATTCATAACACATCATGTATTCCGGTTAATATATACTCTATCTAAATAGAGGAATCCTTCATATTTGATTTTCTCATTGATTCTTCTTCTAGACGAATTTTATTACATCTTTTCGGAAATGACTTCATCTTCAGCTTTAGATGTTGATGGATTCATTGGTAGTATTATCATAATAATTATACTCTTATTATCCAATCAACATTTATGAGAACGGTATTTAGAAATTCATTTACAAGATGCTAATGTTTTCCAAATGCTATTTGCTCAAAGATCTCATATGAAGCTTTTAGAAGATCATTTGTTCTAAGAAAATATAAAAATTAAAAATAATTATATATAATTATTTCCAAAAAATGTAATTAAATATTTTTAACTAAAAGTAGTACTTCACATTTTAAATATTATATAATTTATATAATTACACATATCAATCATTATTTTTAATAACAAACCTAAATTTAATATAATTATATATTATAGATATAAAAATTTTTATATTATTTAAAAATAAATAGATTAATCATTTAATGCTCTACCAAAAATAGAGTAATAAATTAATTATATATAATTTTAATATAAATTATTATTATTTTATGAAATAATATTATAATTATGTTTATAAGCAAACATAAATTTATATTTTTGAAATAAATTATATATTTTAAAATACTAATATTTCACATTTAAAATATAAAACCATTTATGTAATTTAATAAGATTCATCATTTTTATTAAAAAAAATTATTAATATATATTACATATAAATTTATTTAAAATAAATATATTATATACTAAATTTTGTGATAATTATAAAATTATATTTTGTCACTGTTCTATCAATCACTTTATTAAAAAAAATTAGTAAGAGCATACATACTGCTACTATTTTATTATCAGATGTACTAATCGAGGTGTAAAACCTTTACATCCGTGTTAACTTTTGATTCTTTCTACCTTGGCCGCCTCCGTTTCTGGGATTCTCGAAACATAAAAAAGGCTAGTTTATGAAAAAGAGAAGAACATTGGCATTTAACAAGATTGTATAATAGTACCCATTTACTCCGTTAAGTAATAACGAACCATGTTCATAATACTTCTTGCATTTAACTTAATATATATTATATCTAAACGGAGAAATCATTCATCTCTGATTCTCTTATTAATTCTTTTTCCAGTCAAATATTATCACATCTTTTCGAAAATAACTTCAGCTTTTGCTTCGGTTGCTGAAGTTGTTGCATGCGTCTCAACTTTTGATTCTCTTTACTTTGGTCAAACTGCTCAGTTTATGGTTGTTTGTCGCTGGGATTCTCAGAATATAAAAAATGGCAAATTTATGAGAATTAGAGAAGATTGAGAAGAACCTTTGACATTTAACAAGACTGCATAATGTTTGCGGATATATAGAACTTTTGAAAACTTTACGGACTAATACAAAAGAATTCGCACGCTATATCGGTCCAGCTTATATGTCAAACATCAAAAGATATAATAAAATTATAGAATACATCACTTATATCTCCGAAACCGCGTTTGCGCAAGGACTATATTATAATGGTTGAGTTTCAAGACTCCTGTAGGATTCACGTGTTATTCCATCCGGTCAACCACGTTATCAGTGTGTTTTGATTTGGTATAATTATGTGTGGGCTGGTGTGAGTTTTTAATTTATATTTAGAAGCCCATTCTAAAGCACTTAGCCAAAGATAACAAAACTCTGCATTTAAACTTATGTCATGAGGCGTCTCTTCTGTTATTGAACTCATCCGTCGACTATTGAACTTCAGTGTGTCATCCATTGTTTGAGAAAAACCAGACATTCCCCTTCATCTTTTACCTCCCCTGTCTCTTCATCTACATCTCTTGCTTACGCTATTTCAACGTTTTGATTTCACATGTTTAATGAATCGGTTGTTCTCATTAAAACTATTCACTCCCACGACTCTCCGTCTCATTTTATTTACGATCCAAACTTTATTCGTTTTAAAATCAAAATAATTCAAACTCTATCAATAAAAAAAAAGGGTTTGTGAGTCCAATCCACAAACACCGACACCCTCTATTCTTCTATCTATTTGCCAAAATACAGACACCTCCTTCGAGAATGTCTTCCTCTGTGTTATTAGGCCTGCAATTTACATTCTCACACAAGTGACAAACGAAGGTGAAGAAGCAGCTGCATCTGCCAGCAACACTATTGCAGCAAGAGATGATGAACTAAATCCGGCCGGTTTTGAAGCAGAAGAAAATAGCTAATGCACGCGTGAATGATAGTTTCAATTTGTTTGTTATGTATTTTCAGAGTTGTTATGATTTTGAATCCATTATAAAGATTATTTTTAACTTTGGTTTTTCTCTTTAATTTCCGGGAAACTCCCTCCTATGAAGAGGACAATTACTAAGTTTTTTTTTAAAAAAAAGCAGTGTTGACTGCATTTTGAATATTGATAATATCCACAACTAAATTCATCAATCACTACACGTTACATGGTGACATGCATTCCTAAAGAAATATAGCTCATGTAAACATTTCATAAATGTCTGCTATGTAGCCATGCACTCATACTGAGAGCATAAAACTCTTGATTTGTTTCCTTTCTCTTTAAAAAAGAAATTTCGATGTCTCAATGAAAACAAATGCAAACACAACTAAATAGTCATAAACGACGGTTAAAATAACATTTTAATACAATAATATACACATATATACCCAAGTCCAATAAAACAAATAAAACATAAAACATAAAACATAAAACATAAAACATAAAACATAAAACATAAAACATAAAACAATCCATCCCTATATCAACAAACATTCATTTACAAAACCTGACCACAAATTTTTATGAATCAATAAAGAATCTAATCCATTTCACAGTCTCAAAATGAACTTCCCCAACACATGAATCACTTTCATGGATAAAAATAACACAACACCAACAGTAATAACCCCGGGTGGACAATCCCTAGTGGAATCAAGGAGGGAGTATGGGAGAGGATAAGCTGCAACAGAGGAGAAGAGTAGCTGAGGTGCATCGAAAACATCATTGGATTCGGCCTCCTCGAAACTGGATCAAATGCAACACTGATCGGTCTTTTCTATGAAAATCTACATGGAACTGCAGGGTGGGTTTTACGTGACAGTGAAGGTAACTATAAAGGATGTGCTCAAGCAGTGGGAAGGAAGGTACAAAACCTTTTGGAGAGTGAACTACAACACTGTTGGGCTCTCGGATCAAAAAGAAAAATTGTCGATTAAGTTTGAATCAGTTTCATTCTGATGGATTAAGAGGCAAACAAAGTAGTAGAATGATTAGCAACTACTAACCCTTCGGACAATTCTTTTAAATTTCATTACTATGTATCACAATATAGCACTAATCTTCTTCATGAAGATCATGTACTCTCGATTGCATAGTAACAATAAACATAGATGTTATAAAAATAATTATTTTGTGATATTAATAGAAGATTATAGAATATTTTTACTGGAAATAAAAAAAAAATATAGAAAATAATGTTTTTGGATCATAATGTTGGACTGAAGATACAGTCAAAATTCATATAAACCCTCATAGTACTTAATATTTTAAATGAAATATATAAATAAAAGTTTAAGTTAGACAGTATATAAAATTTTATTTTTAATAACAATGTAATAACATGATTGGTATTTTGAAAAGATAGTAATTGTAAAACAAAATAAAAATCAAATAAGTTGTGCATGTCTATTGATAATTATCTTTATCATCTTTTTACAGTGAGTTTTAATCCATAACTATATTTTTACTATAATTAGATTGCAATATATTGTTTTATGTTTATAGTTTAACAAATGATATAATAAATAGTAATGTTTTTCATAGAGGTGTTACAGAAAATTTTGTAGAAGTTTTAGTGTATTTAACTTATACAACATTTAAAAAAAAAATTATTTGCTTCCTTATGAAACTTTTTTTGGAATAAAAGATATAATTTACTTATATTTTTTTATAATTTTTTTACTATAGTAACAAATATATATTTTTTTAAAATTAACAATAGTAAAATTTG